GGAACAAGAAGATGCCACTCACCGATTATACATCCCGTAGCCCCATGGCTGCACAGTGGCAGAGATAAGCACCACCAGCCCTGGGAGTCCGTAGCCAAAGGCACAGAGGTGCAGCATCTTGATGTTGCGAGAGCTGAAGTAATTCACCACCTTCAGGTTCCTGACCATCAAGAAGAGCATCACCGCCTCCACCAGCATCCAGAAGAAGCAGGCAAGGAAAAGGTAGTGCAGAAAGCCCGCGATGATGGCACAGCCCATCTGGAGGGAAGAAGACTGCATGTCAGGATCCCCCACCCCAGAGAGCAGGGTGAAGGGAGGGGGCAGGGAGGGACTAGAGGGACTGGAGTTCCCCAAACCTGATTATTCATCCATTTCACAAATATTTACAGAGACACACAGTAATTTTTATTCAGAAGCAATGTTTCTGTTGGAAGGGTGACACATTGTCCTGGTTTATCTGGAGTGGAGGTTTCCCAGGACATGTGATTTTCAGTGCTAAATGTGGAGGCATTTGGGGAAAATGGATAATCACCCTACTTTAGGGAGAGTTTGAAGATGTGGGTTTTCAGAAAACTACAGTCCATAGGCTGGCTGCCCATTTTGTAACTAAAGTTTTATTGGCACAGTACTATGCCCGTGTGCCTGTTCTCTACAGGTGCTTTCCTACAGCTCAGTTGAGTAGTCATGACAGAGACTGTACGGTCTACAAAGCTGAAGATACATAGTATCTAGCTCAGGAATATCCAATCTTTTTTCTTTCTGTTGCATGTTAGAAGAATAAGTGTTGTCCTGGGCCACACAGTAAATCTGCAAATACTAATAAAAGCTGAAGAGCAAAAAAAAAGGTCCATGCATAATTGTCATGATCTCTGACACCACCAATAAACAAAAAAAGCCCTCACAAAATCAGTTTGTGGCCCATGGACCACAGTTTGGACTCCTCTGATACAGCTCTTACAGAAAATGTTTGCCCATCTCTAGCTAAATGATTAGCCTACTAGCATTTGGTGCTCAAGGGAGGGGCAGTCCTACACAAAAAATGATGGTCTCATTTAAAATCTTAATAGTAATCTTTTTGAGAACCCCTAGGAGTCTGCTGTGTGTCTAGCGCAGTTATAGGGGGCGAACTGGCTCAAGTTCTTATCCCCGTGGGGCTCACAGTCTAGCAGAGGATTTAGTGACACAAGAAATAAAGCCACAAATAATAAATATGGTTTTAAGTAAGTGTTGAGGAGACAAGACAGAGTTATAGAAAGAAGAAGACTCTCAGATCAAAGACACTATTGCCAGGTCATTCTCTGTTGTGGGAAGCTGTCCTGTGCATCACAGGATGGTCAGCAACACCCCTGTCCTCTACCCAGTAGATTACAGTGGCCCTTCCCTCAGGAGTGACAGTGAAAGATATCTCCTGACATTGCCCCTGGAGACAAAATCATGCTGGCTGAGAGCCACTCCCTTAGAAAGTAATAGGCGGGACCACTGCAGTTCATAACATGATCCAGAAAGTAATTTTAAACTGAGAGCTATGACAAGAAAGGCCAACTAGGGGAGGGATTGGGGTGAGTGTTACAGCCAGTGAGCACAGCACATGCAAAGACCCTGAGGTTGGAACAGGCTTTGAGGGAGCTGAGTTGGGATGAGCTGAGGCAGATGGGGAGGTGATGGGGACACAGCCGAAGGGATGTAGACCTTGTTGTCAGTCTTGTCTATGCCGGCAAGGAAGAGACTCTTGGCCAAGAAGAGGCACACACAGAGGTGTAGGTGGATGTAAGTGTTACGGTTTCGAATGGAGCGACACAGCAAGAAGGTGGCAATGGCCACGATGAGGCACACCAGGGAGATGATCATGCCCACATGGCTAATGACATACAAGGAGAACACCATCTGTGGGGAAGAAATTCAGCTGTTAGTCTCAGAAGGGGATCAAAATACTCACCAGGCAGGAAAAAAAATAATCCAGATCCCTGGATCAAAGACTTTTCTCCTTTTAACACACAGAGTGAACCTGATCCATCAGCATTTTTGCAATCCATTGCAGACCTCCTATTCCCAGCCTGTCCACACTCTGCCCTGCGCATTCCTAGGGCTGGATGTCTACAGACTACATCTCCCAGAACCCTTTGGGATGGATGTAATTCATGTTCTCCATTGGGATGCATCAGCGAAAGTTTTGAAAGGTAGATAGGAAGCAAATACCAACTTTGTTCAGACAGGAGTCAGCTGTGGCTAAATTT